AACTACATATTTTATATTTATAAAGACTAAAATACAAAACAAAACTATATAAATAATTTATCCGCGTGTACGCGTGAGAATCACCTAATGATTTTGTAAAACATAGTATGGATTTTATATATATTTAAGAAACATCATACTATTTTATTTGATAGCATATTCTATTATATAACGTCACATTTTGTCCCCCCAAAAAAATGTCACATTTTGTTTATAAAATATGTACGAGAAAATACATTTTGTACTTGCGAAAAAACCATTGTATTTTTTTTCTTTCAAATTTTGACTATACATTTTATTATCTATTCTACCCTAACTATAGTTAATGAAGATATTTTTTTCACTGAAAATGTATTGATGATGGAAATGTTACACAATACATAAGGAAATCATAATTAAACGACCAAGGATAACACAACACAATGACCAATCTCAAAGCGTTGAGGATGAGTTTTGTGAAGACACATTGATAATACCAGTAACAGTTTTGTTCCGAATCTTTCAACGATCACCAAAAGAAATGCATGCATAACAAAAACTGAAAAATGATTGATCGGTCTAAATTAATTAATAAATACTTTATCAGAGTAAATGAGATATCAAACATAGATTTCATTGTAAATCAATCAAAAAAATTTCTCCGACAAAGTAAAATGTATATAACTTGTTCTATGACAATAGTTAGGGGTGGAACGGATCCGGATATTCTGAAATTTCAAGGTATCCGGATCCGAATTCGGAATCGTCGGATCCGTGAAAAAAATTATCCGGATCTGGAATCAGGACCTCCGGATATCCGGACTCTGGATATCCAGCCAAAAAACGGATATCCGCGGATATCCGGATCCGAAATTAATATTAAAAATAATTAAAATAATAAATAAATAAATAAAAATATATTTTTTAATATTATTAATTAATATTTTAAATGATATTTTTCATTATTAATATAATTTATTATAAAAAAACTAAAATCAAGTTTTATATATATCTATTTATATAAAATTAGCTTAATAAATATATAATATATATGTTTTTAATATTTTAATGCGTCCGGATCCGGATCCGGATATCCGAACCTTAAAATTTTGTTCTCCGGATCCAGATCCTCTTTTCACGGATCCTAGATTTTACTATCTTTATCCGGATCCGAACTCCCCGGATATCCTAATTTTCGGAGCGATTCCGAACGGATAACGGATCGGTTCTCGAGTCCTAGATAATAATTCCACTCCTAACAATAGTATCTTTACTAAATTATCTAAAACAAATTTAATAAATATCTCAGACATCTAAAATGAATAAACCAGAGAAAACAAAGGTCTTCTTCACTGTCTTCAGAAAAAATGCTTTAATTCAAAAATCTCTTTTCAATTTTCAAAATTAATTTTAAATATT